CTATAACCAAGTTGACAGTCGTGTATTTGCTAATAATGCTAATCATTTTCTCTAAGGTTTGAGTGTACAATAGAGTCATATTATCTATGCTGTATAGTGATGACTATATTAGGAGCATGGTTGGGTGCGATACCAATACCACTTGATTGGGATAGACCTTGGCAGGTTAGTATGGGAACACCTAAACAATGTAACTATGGGTATGTACTCTAATCTAGCTTGAGCAGTAAATTCATTTTATCAGTTTAAAGCGATATGTCGTGAATTACAATAGTCTTTTAGAAAATTTGCCAACGACATACTTTTAACAAAGCATCCATCAAAACACACAAAACTTTATAAACAGCGTAACACCGCATGAGCTTCACCAAAGGTGGAAATAAATAACGCGAAATAATGTCAAACAAACACTGAGTCAATGAATAAAAAAAMACAAGCCGGTAGGTGCTGAGAGATGGTTTTTCMGTGGTTGTTTGTCTTTTCCTGTTGATTATTTTCAGTTCTTCTTTATGAACTTTTCAACTAAACTAAGATCCTCAYTTTAAAACTGACCTTTATAAAGTTTTAAGTACGTGAATAAGCGTGTACTTTTTTACGAAAAATATCCAAAATAATAAAAAAAACGACTCGACTTTGACAAGAGAATGGACTTGAAATCATAAATTTTGAATGAATTTGAGAGTTTTATGTACCAGCAAACACGAGTGTCTTCACTTTTAGTTCTCTTGCCACGCCCTTTTCGCCCTTCACTACATGTGGTTCCTGCCTCATCATGTTCTTGACTCCACGTGTTCTAGCCACACCCTGTCATTTCTTTACTGAGAAGACTGGTTGTTTTTCAGGTCTGGCCTATTACCTGTACTGTGGGTGGAATTATTGGACATTCCGTAGGAGTACTTACTATAGGGTCTACGTTTTGCTATTGTTTTAGAAAAGATTGTAGAAAACGACAATAAAATAATAAATACGACTCCGCTGTTAATCGTGTGGTATCTTTCCTGTTGTCCATTTTTATTGTTACGAAAGAAGTTGAATTATGTGAAAGTGTTGGTCACCTAAAAATTACCAGTCAAATCTCGTTAAGCTACATCTAATTACTGGGTGTTAACTACTTTCAAATATCGCAATAAAATTGGTTCTATTACACTAAGACGACCGCAAAAGTAAATGTGTTTGTAACATTTTTTACGACCTAAAACTGAGCAACCGCGATTGTTGATGTGTTCTGAAACTCCTTTGCCCTCTTATAAAAGCTAAAATTTCTGTTTAAAAATCTTATCTATTTATCTATCCTTTTATAAATTCTCTACTCGTAACTAACGTAGCCAGGTTTTCGGACCAATAGACCGTTCTTCTCAAGGCCAGTGCACCCTAATGTTAACACTGGAATTCCAATCTTTTTCAAAACATGAAGGGACTGGTATCTTATGAATTTTATATGGTGTTGAAGTTAAATCAATTGAAATAGGACCTCATAGCATTATGAACCAATGTGTTAATTCAACATTAATAAACGTTTTATTGAAATTAACTCACTACAATCAAAAACTGCKTGACATAATTTATCCTTTTATCTTYTACTTTTGCTTTTAGTTTGTTAAAATGATTATTTTTTGCACGAATAGCATAAATTTGTTTTGATTTGTTGAAATCGTTTGTTTTTCACTGAATTGTTCTTTATAATCTAATTTTAGATTTTCATCTAAACAATTGTTATATTGATATTTTGATCAAAACATAATTCTACTCAAATTCAAAAACATACAGTTTCCATTATTATATGAGTTTATTGCTTGTACCACAAAGTGTCTTTTACACAAGGTATATAGGAGWGGACTATTCGTAATTCGTAATGTTCTATCAAATACACTGAGAAACACTGTTGTGAGGCCTGAAAAAGCGGCAAAATACAGCATTACCGTACTATTTTCAATTATTACGAAGCTGCATTTTATGGAATATTTACTTTCAACGTCGTTTAACGGTGATTTTRCATCTTGAGTAACATGAATGAACAAGTATACCGTAACCTGAAGTAAGGAGTGGGCCTACTGAGGAAAACGCCTTGTTGATTCTACCGTTGAATGGCAGGAAATCTAAGTAAAACACACAGACTTATCATAGATCCAAGTTTCTGGTGGTATTAAAAAGGGGAATTTTGCATACAATACAAAACACTCCTGTTTTTTAACGGAAATTCGTACTAGTAGCCGGTGGTGTTTGCGAACGTCAGTGGCTGGCTGTGATTGGCTGTTGAGAGTCCATTGCTGGTACAAACATCTAAATGTGACGTCAAATGAAATGATTCGTCTATTTCACCCGTATCTTATTGTGATCTTGATGTTTAATATAGGCTATAATAGAATGAATTGCTTTGTTAAGCCTCGTCTCTCTTAACATAGCCCACGTTGGTCGACAAAGAAAAACTATTTTACCATTATAAAATTGAGTAGAAAAATGAATTGAAAGCCAGTCCACAATAAAATAAAAACACATCGAGAGACACTTAGRCATCAAATATTTTTTGAACAGCTAGTGCATGCCGGTTGTTAAGTGGTCTTCAAAAAACGTTCTAGTCTGTTGGACCGTTAAGTTTTCATGGTCTATGATCTGACAACAACATCAAAATGGTTTTTGGAACTGTTTAGTGAGCGTTTAATGATTATTAACGCTACAGTTCACTTTCTTACAATTTTGATGCAAATCAAATTATCACAGTTACCTCGCCGACACCCTTCCAGAACTCAATCGCCCTTATTATATTGTTATCGRGCATAATAAACCATGAAGGCTTATCCGTAACCTTGCTAAAACCTTGAGTAGGAAATTGTTTTTACRTATTTTAGTTTGTTGTTGTTGTTGTTGTTTTATTTTTTCGTGTTTTTGTTGTTTTCAATTCCTAAATGAGCCACTCGAGCGCACTCGTTGAAACAAAGAAATGTTTTCACAATATCATTAAAAACGTTTTCTAAAATTAAAAATAATTACAGACAAGTTTAAACAGTTGAACTGGGTAAACACAGCTTTAAACMCTGTTTTTTCTTTGTTTGTTATTCATTATTACTGCGAGATTGAATGATTTCCGCACAACCGTACAAAAAGGCAACGGTGAACYGTTATACAAGCCCGACTTTATCTAATGTATACTGGTACCTTGAGAAATCTACTGTATGCCATATGTAGCAGAGACATTCATGTTCACCACTACAATTGACAAGTATAGTTTTCATTCTGTGTTCTTTTCGTAGCAGAAACAATTATGACTATAAACTGTAACGTTGWATGAATAGGTTTTGAATAAAACGCCGAGTTCAATATAGTTTGGGTACCTGCWAAGCTCTATAGTCAAAATATCTATGACCACTTCTTAGCCACGATGTTAATAATCAATTACAGTGAACAACGAGTCACTATTGGGAGAACGTTATAGCTGTATTCAAATGACAAAAACCGTCAACGCTATCTACAAATATCACCGGGCAACTTTGTATGGAACATGGCCGTCATATRCAGCTATATTTCATTAATGCAATGTATTTTCAAACTGAAAAAAAAATCAATTTTGTATTTTGTTCTTTCTTCAAAAACTGTATTTCAAAGATAAATTGATAGATTGAAGATTTGCCAAGTCAATTGAAAACACTTTTTTAGTGATAAATGATTCAATAAGCCACTAATGAAACAGCTCCAGATTCATTAAACAGAGTTGTTAATCGTCGTCAAAATTAAATGCCTAGCTGACTGTTATGTAAATAAAATTAACTTTTTGTCATCGCACAAAATAGAAAATAAACACGATAGAACTACTCAGAGAAACACGTTCTTTTTGTGYATATGCAGTGTTAAGTTTGATATTTCGAGTTCTAAAAACAGACTTTATGCGTTTCGAAATTCCTCTAAAATTCAATGTATATTTTRAAATGATTATTCACAAGATATTAATGTTATTGAATCGTGTAGCAATTAAGAGCGATAAACATACGAGAAACAAGTTGAGCTTATCTTGTAAAGTACGGAGTGGTTTCAAACCACCTGTGCAAGGTAGACAATGGTAAGGAGAGGATAATCTTGGCTAATTGTCCATCAGCGAACCGAGTGAAGAGAGTAAGCCAAGCGGGTAATATCTTCACATATTAATAATTCACAGTGTTTTTTGGTGGTTGACATTTACTGATTAATAAAACGCTTAACAAAACAACCTTGAAAAGAAACTCAACCGTTGAAAATGAACGYWTAGAACAAGAAAGTGTAGAATATGTCTGAAGATCGCCATTTTAAGAAACTTTAACCAGAAAATGGTGGCGAAWAGTCATTTCAGATTTTAAAAAAACTCATGATATTCAATTATCAATTAATTACTTTTTCCGCGAGCTTGAACAGCTAGTGTTGTCTRGTTGATTRGTCGTGGTTTTCTTTAGATTAGTTAACGTATGTCATGCGAAAATCGTTTTGGTTATCATTGATCAATTTCATGAATATTTGCAAACAATCGCACGTCTAGCCGTCAGTTTCATTATTATGGTTAATGAATTTATTTTCACAATAAAAAGACTTGATGATCAGTGATGATAATTCAATTACTGACATCTTTTCAGAAATACTTTCACTTTAGTGGGTTTACCGAGTGTGGGATGTCAGCCTTGATGGCAGATAAAAGCAAAAACATTTTTCTGGACCCTTTATCCTCTTTTTGAACAATTTACTTCTTCAACTTGCATTACTTTACTGTTTTTACATTATTTTTCCTTTTCAAGTAAAGTATATGTACAAAAAGCTATAAAACAATCCATTCAATCTAGTCAAATATTACGCCAAAAGCTTATCAACAGCCAATCAGAGTGGCTGGTTATGGTGAGTTAGAATAAAACAATTAAATCCCCGTCATTGATTGGCTGGACTACTCGCTGGGATGCAAACACATTTTCACTAAACAATCACCGTTGAACAGTTTACTTGACACAAATTGTGTGCTTTAGACGAGAAAAGAGCCCGTGATAGCACTTTAAGTATAAGTAAACAATGTCATCCCTTGCAACGGGAAGTGCATGGTCAAGCAAGAGAACTCATTTTGATATTGCCTCGCATGGACTAGTTGAGAAGAGCATTCATACTATTACAGATGAGAAGCTATCGAACAAGACCATGCTACAGTGTGGTACTACTAAAGATAGTAAGTGTTCTACTAGTTAACCAGTCTTACAGCTGGGATCACCATGAATTAAAAACTAAAGGACTTACAATAATACAGCATTAGGGAAAATCCGTTAGATCAATACTGACTGCAGACACAGCTTTCTAGGATTTGTTCGTCTTAACAAAAATAACATTAAACTAGAAACAATTTTTGGAAAATAATCAGTGTTGATAATACTTTCAGATTTCTGGTATTTTGACATTTTTTCTTCAAACAGCATGCTTCAAGCTAAATATTTACTAACGTCACCCTACTTTAATAGCTGATTCATCGCTAAAAAGAAAACATGAGTCTGATGAACAAGGATCCGAAGATTTAAACACKGTTAAGAGACGGCATAGAACGACTTTTTCCAAATCTCAACTGGACGCGTTAGAAGAAGCATTCAATCGTTCACAGTATCCTGACATCTTCACACGCGAGCAGCTTGCCAAGAGAATCAATTTAAACGAGGCGAGAGTCCAGGTATGGTTTCTTTAAAATGGTTTTGTTTAAATTGCCTTAAGGGATCGTGATACCTCCCTCTGGTTTTAATTAACAATATTACTCCCTTTAATTTGCACGGAAAAGAAACAATTTACAGACTCTACAAGTGTCASAACGAAWACTGAATCTTATTCCAGCACATTCTAATGACATAGTTTGCGGTACAGCCTATTTGGCAAAGATATTCACTAATTACGGTAAATTACCGATATCTCGCGAAACGAAATAAGAATTATGAGCATGCGTACAAATTAGAGACACCTGCCCAGCTCCCTGGCACATGGGTAATTACACTTTTGCAATGACAAAAGACTTTAATTACAAGTCGTTGAAGCTCTTTGCTAAAAAACCCAAGCTTAGGAGCACATGCACTCTATGGGCTTGAAAACCWACACTGTACATGTAAAGAATTCCGCAGACCCGATCTGCTAACTTGATGAAACTATCCCGTTCTTTTTCATAAAACTGTCGAGAATAAGGACGCTATTAATGTTGATCTCTTTTTCAATAAATATCTTGTCTAAAAGCTAAAAAAGGTCTCTGATTCACYATTGAAATTGTAATCTAGTGTTCATTAGGAACAGGAAAGATAACTTTAACAATACTAATCCTTGTAAGCCCTATAGTTGGCAAACACACTAATTGCTCGATGATTTCACGACAGAAAATACACAAAATAAAATATCTTTGAATAGATGAAAAARAAATTAGCCGGACGTCYACTAGAAACTGCATGAGCGAGTTGTAAGACAATCGTCTCGAGCTTTGTTTTTGACTTTTTTACCATGAACTAATGGAGGTTGTTTATTCATCGTAAATGATTCTAATCTATTGAAGCTGACAAGCTGATAATTAGCATTGAATTGTAGAAAGATGAGATTAGTTCGGGAAATTAGCCCATCTCCTGTTGATGCTATTTTAAATTAGCTCCATCGATTATCAGAATGTGCAATTAATTGGAGGAATCTTAAGCGATAACACTAACGTATCGCGCCATCAATAAGGAGGGTTATTCACATATCGTAAATGATAGCACTTTTGTTTATAAACTATCAACCTCCAGGTGTCAYGTCCTTGTAAGACTAGCTTAGCRCCACTAACAGTGCTTAAGYTTATTACCTTTTTTGTTCAAAAAAACCTTTCCTGGTTGAGAGAGAAGTTATTTCCAGTATTAAACTATGAGAAAGAGACGCTCTGGAGAAGCATAAAGGTTRTCTTTTCGACAATCTAGGATTGCGTGCCGTGAGCGTGAAGTTGAAATGTTTTGGCATCGAGTAATACGAGCGACGTTGAAGGTTTCATTGTTACCTATGATGATAGGATTGACTAAGTTTAACAGTGGTTAATTTTCTCCTTTGACGTTGCCCACAACTCGATAAAGAACCATGATGGCGCCATTAAAGACAGTCAAACATCCCAACTAACTCAAACAGTCGGTTTTCTGCACGAAACGTCAAAAAGCACTCCAGAAAATTAGTTTTATCAGTAAATTACGAAAAAAATACATTGACTTTATTACATCGCCTAGACAAAGGCTCTAAATCACTTGAAAGAGTTTCAAAAACGCGTTATGTTGGGGTTCAGGGTGGAATAACAATGCAAGATATCAATTGTGTATCAATACACCATCTTGAGCACACAAACTGAAAATGTGGATACTCYAGGAGTTGATTTTTACTAATTACATAGTCAATTAAATAATCGCTTTCTTTGTCTAATTCTTATGAGTTGTTTTACAAACTTTAACGCCATTAAAACACGTTTTCAAACCACTTCTAAAGGTCTTATTCGTAATAGCGTCAAATCTAAAACATTCGGCTTCAAAACACACCCATGAGAACATGCTTTTGTTTAAGAAAAAGGTTTCGTGGAGAAGTTCGAAGCTATAAAGGAAATTTCTAACAAATAAAGAACGTGTTTCAGCAGGGAGTCTGAGCATATTGGTCAATCACTCTAAAAGGTACTTTAGCCCCCGCTGAGCTCTTTTCAACCATATCATGAAACACTCAAACAAGGCACGTGGCAGAAGAGATTCTTAAGACTTGACATTAACCTTCACAGCTAATAGATTTGTAAAGTTAATTGCTAATGATCAATCGCAAGTTTGAAAAAAAAAGACAAAGTTACATATCACAAGGSAAATGTTTCCAGTTTTCGAGTTAATACACGGGGTAGCATTAAGTGTRGTCTCGTTCTTAGGTTTGTTAGTGTTTCAAAAATGAATGTAAAACCTGCCGACCTGTTGAAAAGAAACAAGTGGTTGGTTTAGAAATCCTCCTGAATGCATCAAAACATTGAATGTAGGATAGCTGGAGTGCCTCAGGGCTCATTTTGCTGACAACCGGCACTTTTAAATACAATACAGCCACGTAGCAAAAACGTTCAGTTTGTCACGAGGTTTTTTTTAAGTTTCTTTTTTTTAAAAAAAAGGAAGTAAAGACTTTAAAAACAAAAGGTTTTGAGTCAAACAATGACTTAGATTCAACGCACACGCATTTTGTTATTACTATAAAGAGTCCATGCCTAACCTGAAAGTGAAAACGTTTCCTTTAATTGAATTAAAAGGTTGTTTTGTTGGTAATTACGTGGAGTGAGGCCATTTTAACGTGTCTGATTTCAATTTGTGATGTCTCTCTATCTTCCACATGTCTCGAAATGTCAGACACTCACGCAAGCCGTTTATTTCTAATTATTATCTAATTTACCTCTTATCTAAATTATATCATACTTCAATCTTATTAGATACTAATGCACTTACTACATTTGGTAAAGTACAAGCTGAAAACATGGCTACCATTAACTAACTTCTCTTGTAGGATTTACATTGTTGAAAATCTTTCTCAGACAATTTTAATCTTATGTGATTTGAATTAATGTTGAAGTTGMATTTTGGGGGATTTTAATAGGATTGTAGGCCACAAGTCGTCTAATGCTGATTATTGGTTTCACRTTACAGGTGTGGTTTCAGAATCGACGAGCCAAGCACAGGAAACAAGAACGACAAAACCCTCGCGTACCTTTTCCTTTTCACTCAGGAATCTTTTACCCACATGAACCAACTAGCTATCCTGCACTTATCCCACCATACTACCCTGTATCACCATCAACATGTCAGCTATCAACCCTTCCTGGGCGGTCTCTKCCAGACTCTTTAAGGTCGATTACCAGTCCTGTAKGGTCTCCGTGTAGTTCCTGTCCGCCTGGTAGTTTCTGCTGCGACACAAATCCAAGGAACAAAATCTGGAATCCCGCCATAACGCGTTCTTCACTTTCTCCAATAAAGAACCATCAAGAAAGTAAAGCAGAACTTCTACGKGATCGTGATACATATCCTTGGTCAACAAAAAGTCTGGCGTTGTTYAGAATGAGAGCACAAAGTTATAATCGCTATGGAAGTAATTCATAACACAACATATCAAAGAAAATACTTTATAATTCACTTAGCATGAACGCAATACGAATTTTCGCGCAAACGCATTCTGTGCATTCATGCCTTCTCAAAACGTTAATTGTCTTGGCTAAGCCTTGCAGTCCTCTCTTAATGTCTTTTACAAAGAATTAACATTTATTGTACATGTTTTTGTACAAATCTCTCGTACGCCTCAGTAATACAATGACAGCGTCAGGTCTTTACAATGCAGTTATATATATATACAGTACTTTGGGAACTATCTACATATATATCAACCATTAGATCTGTATAGGGGTTTAATGTAACTAATAGACATAATATTCAATATTTTGAGGGTAAATAATAAATGTATTTAGGATATTTAGAAGTAATTAAGTGAAATAAACATTTTGTACTACAATTGTTTTCTATTGTGTCTTTGAATGGGCGCATGTTTTGAATACATCATGCATTGTGTCAATAATGATAGCTAGCATAGTACACTGATTCATTTCGTTGTAAAAATGACTTTGAGAGAAAATATTATTAGCGAAGGATGTAGAGAAATTGTGCATTATAGCAAGATTCAACAAAAACTGCAGYTCTCTTAGATAGTCTCTTAGCTGTGAATGGACATTTACACTGAACTACTGGAGCAATTTCTAAACAACTGTATGGCTAAAGACAACTAAGTTTATTTATTTAAAAAAAGTGGCAAAGTACACTATGAGAAAGTTTAATCATCATATTACGAATTTATACATCTTTCTTAAGTTACTACAAAAGTAATATGTGAATTACTTTGCATTTCAACTATTTGCTTAGTTTAAATTGTAGTTCCCTGACATCTATTCCAGCTTTGGCAAGTAAATCGCAAATATTTCTAATATCTTCATCGTTGTAATCATCAAGATTGCAAGTTACTGGCTGTTCCTTCACTGCCTCAAAGAAATTCCTACCAGTAGTTTTATGTCCTACTAAAATACAAAGAATATCCAAGTTCTGTTGGTGATAAAGTAGAAACACTGCGATCAAGAATTTCTTCCTCTAACCATAAGAAAAAGTTATGTACATCTATTGAATTCATTGGAAGAAATGCCTTTGCTAATGAACACAAATGAAGAACCTCAAAACATCGAGGGTTCCAATGACATGTGATCTCCTCCATAAAAAATCCCAGTGTCTCGTCATCCCATTGTTTAGCTGTTGATATAGCCACAGTTGCCATGGTGATTTGGGGAGTTGAGAACTCCCAAAGCTGTCTTCTTGTCAATTCTTTAATAAAAGAATGAATTACATCTGTTGGATTCATTAGATGTTTAACTTGAGCAAACCCCCAGAGAATGTGACAAATATCTGAAGGCATGAATTCATCAAATACATGATTCCTCAGCAAGAGCTTTGTAAACTTCAATAGACTTGGGCAGTGAATYAAGCTCACCAAATGACCAAACTAACTGTGCAAGTTGACGGTTTTCAAAAGACTTTGCCCTCATGTTAATGATTCTTTGATCAATCAACTGAACGAAATCTGTTGTGGATGATTTGAAGCTAGGGCACATTTTCGGCACATTTTATATTTGGCATATGACAGGGGCAGTGGCTTTACTGATGTCTCTTTGTGACAATTCCCTTAACAAATTGCTGCACATTTCCACATGAATTACATTAAACAGCAGAATATGACCAACAGTATATCTAAGAGAAACAAATATCTTAAAATCAAACCTACCTACCTGTCGCAAATGACAGCACAGTCCGCCATATTGAGATGAGGCAACAGTCTTATTGGTCAGTTCTTACTTAGGTAGGAACGCCTTGTAGTATTTCATTAAGTTGCGGGCTTTCTATTCCCCTCGCGGCAGAAACAGAGTTCAGAATAAATTGAATGGCATGTTATCCGCTTCATGGGGAAGAAGGTTAAAATGTKTAAAATATTTCGGTAAAATCGTTACTACACAATCATCGGAAATTATAATATTCATATTAAATATTAACAGGTTTTGCAAGTTTTCCTACTTTTGCGAGCGTGAGGGAGTGGAGATGTACGGTTTGCAAGCTCCACTGTGATTGGTTAACCGGGAAAACGTTTCCCTTTGAAAAATTATAAGATTATACGGTGGATGTATCATAGGCCTATATCACGCAGGCGATTCAGACGTGGACGCGGTGGTCTCGGTGGGCAAGGTGGACTCGGGGGTCGAGTTGGGCAAGGTGGTCGGGGTCCGGGATCCTCAGACGAACACATGACCTTCCGGGAACCGGGCACCGGGCAAGAGCACACTCGACACTGCATTGTGAACACTTTATTGGAAATCTTTGAAACATTATCTGTACACAAATATTTCATTGTTTGTACAAATTCATTTTTAACATTTTAATTTAATTTGTTACTATGCTTTAACGATGCAATGGAATTCATTTGATCGACTAGTGAGAAATCGTAAACACTTCTTTGTATGATTAGTCTTTGTACACAATAAACCTTGGCAACTATGTATTTACACTATCTGTGGGGTATTTCAAACGGTAGATTCTCCCTGATGTCCTTACAATTGTCATTCTAAAATTTCATTGTAGCCAAATTCTAACAAACGTTGCATTTTTTCTAGGAGCTTTATTTCTTATTCTTTTCAAATATTTAGATTTTCTCATCGATCCTCCACACATCACCAATGATACACATACTTATTGGTCGTCTGATCGCCARTTCTCCGTAGCTTCTCTCCTCGCATCAGGCAGTATTTGGTTTCTAACCCCACCAATAACGTTCGATGTCGCTTGTGTTGCAAGTATTAAGGGTTGAACGATAGTAGCAGGAACTTGCCTTAATACACCGCCTACAGCACCAGTTACGCCTTTCTGTTCATGCTCCTCACGAGCTACTTGGACGATATTAGTAGCMGTACGATTTAGTCCCTAAATAAATCGAAAATACTATGAATATCTCACTGCATTTGCTCGTCGATTGATAGTTATTGTTGTATTTGAGTAWCGTACAACATCGTCTTAGTATAACGTAATTTTTACCTTGGCAACRACATGGTAGGCATTGGTTACTCCTTCACGTAAATCAGCAGGTTGTTTTGCACATCGATTGTGACCTTGTCTATTTGGTGAAACACTTGGTCCTGGGCTAACCATGTCATAGGCTGTCTCTGCTGCCGTCTAAACACACATACATACAACAACACTCAGAGAACTATAGTGGAACTATGCAAAAGGCGTGGAAAAAGGGATTCCAAATACAAAATTCGAGATTTTGAGAACTAGTGATTTTTTTCAGTCTTTTTGAAGACATTTTTCTAGAATAAGATCAACCTTTGATTATTACTACTAACCTGTACAACATGAACAACTCGGTTTGTTAATTCTAAAAACGCCATTGCAGACGAAGTAGTAAATGAATTAGCACCTCGCTGTAAACCTCGCATAACTCGACCATCTCGTTTATATTGCTCAATAGGAAGCCATACAAGATCYACCACCCCTTGAAATAACTGGACAAATGAATGAACGGGTCCTACTCCTCCCAGAATGCTTGGAAGCTGAGTACGTTTGATGTCATTCAACCATTCCGCCATGGCATAGTTGATAACGCGATCAAAACCAAGTAATCCACTACGACAGCACAAACGCTTGAGAGTTAACTCGGAACAGTTTAGCTGGGCAAGACCAATTAGTAAACCAGCAAAAGTACCCTGAAGAAAAAGCAACGATTATCAAGACAACAATATATCAATCAATACTTGAASAATCTTTAAACAATTAAATGTTAATACTGCTCATCACAAGAAACATCTTGTAACCAAACATTTTTGCCATGAGATAACGAGGGAAAGACACACAGGAACCGCCATATTCTATAAAGTACAGRGGCAATATTAATGACTTACTTGATCCATGTCAACGTGTTTGCCTTGGTAATCAAGTCTTATTGGGACCTCAGGTGAGAAAATAAATGACCTGAAAAACGTWGGTGTCTGAGAAGAGCTACCAGGCTCGTCCCCAGCCTCTCGAGGAGATGTCATTGATAGAAGGTCTTCATCGTCGAAGAGGTCTGGTGAGACACCCGGTGGTGTTTTATCCACGGGGACCACAGTCTTGATTGGACTTGATTCAACACTACTTGACCCTAGAGAGAAAGATAATATTTTATGGGATTCCTGTGTCTTATAGCGAACCAGACCTGGGTCCTATCGCTTAGCTGCTCTATCGCTTACCTTTGGACGTTTTCGATGCTTCTCCAGATATGTCAGTAAAGAAATCTCTTATGAAGAAAAGAGCGTCCTATAATGGGAAAAAATTGTTATTGAATTCTTAAAATAWTCGTCAGTCTGCGTAATTATCAGAGAATAAATMYGTCACATTACCACCTAGCCAGGAAAATCTCCTGCAATTACTTGTTAGGCGGAAATGACCASTAATGACCAGGAAACAGCGTTACATACCTGGTCGACATTAAGTCTCAGCGGTTGAATAGACACACGTAGACAGCATTCTTGTGCTGGAAGMGCTGGGTCTGGTCTCATGTGCAGCATTTTAATAACGACCTTGAGAACAAACATATAATCAATAAATGAGCTTTTATAAAAACATCCAGTTGATAGCGATGATTACAATACGACCATTTGGTGATTAGACACTGTACCATGTTAGCGTTGGTTTGCTTTGGCCGAGACTCTGACGTGTATTGGTACAAAAACTTGTTGATTTGTGAATGAGCGAGTCTGTCTCGTATTTCAACTTCTTGTGCTAGAAACACTAATCTTGACGCTTGTTCTGTGTCCTCTGGATACTGTTCAAACTGGAATCGAATCTYAAAATAGATAATGCCAATCATTGTTAAGAAAGAACGAAGACAAGCAACTATATGGATGTGGTTAATGTAGTAGTGTAACATCACTGTGCTCCCCGAAAGTTTAAATAAGTGGACAGASGAGGAAGAAAAAAACATGGTACCTTGTTAAGGTGCAATTCCATCAGYATATCAGTTTGTCTCCCTGCCCCACCCCGTGTGCGGCATGCTTTAGGACTACCCCCACCCCTGACAGGTGACTTTGCAGGAGGAACGACATCTGATGCAAATGTTATCCTGTGAAAATAGGATTTTGTAATCAAAAAACTGAACTCATATAATAATACACTAATAATATGGTAACTAAGGTCTCATAGCAACCTCTTCTGCTTGTTGTCATGGTGACCGAGATCTTTGCCTCCATACATATGCCACACAATGGACATCTCACGTAAACAATAACGGAAAACCGCTGATGGAAAGTGATCGGGGGCTCGGAGTTGATCACTACGACCGATCTACAAAGAAAAGAATCAATTATGAATCAATATGAATCAATTATTTGAGCAACGTCATAAATACAGTGGTTTGCCATCCAATCAACAATAAAGTCATCAGTGAATGCATCGCGTTTACAAATATTCACCAGGAACATTCCATATCAAGTAATTACAAAATCACAATCAAATGTAAACCATATATCATTTCCAGGAATTTCAACATAGGTGAATTATTCGTTACCGTGACTGGAAAGTGATTTTCAACGATACGGATATCATCCTCGTGTAACGTCTTGATCACCACATCATCCGTCAAACCCTAAAATAAAAACACAATCATTAAAATAGTCTAAGACCACATGGTTATTAAACGGTCAGCAAGTGTGTTTATTTACCTCTGGTTCTCTATCAGGATGGTCTAAAATACAAAACTCTTCATCACTCTCAATGTCATCATCATCATCATGAGGACTCAGTGGTCCATCAACAGCAAGTCCTTCCATGGCGTCAGTTACTTCTTTTTGCACGTCAGGCTGATCATCAGGGAACAAGAATAATTCTCTCTTGGGAGACTTGGATGATGATTGACAGGTGTCAGTCTTAGAGTCCTGTAAAAYTAGAATAAACAATAGTTAGCATATCATTATACTGTCATCGCTAGTAATAATAAAGATTTGATTAGTCAGTCTTCGCTATTCAATGCATCGCTTGATACAATATTTGAGATTTGACAAAAGGATTGACACCTCGAGTCAAGTATGTCAGTTAAACAACGTACGAGCYCTAATTAGCACAGAATGAAACKAAAAACATCGATTATTCACCTTAATAGAGTCGTCTTCATCYTCACTGTATTGATCGTCCATGGCTTCTCTCATTAAAGAACTCATTTCACCTTCGTCCATGGAACTTTGTTCAACAGGAGGATCAGCTGGACATCGACTTGGTGTCTGAACGACAAATATTAATTTGATTTTTAGTTCATTTGTTGTCCCTTTCATTCACTCGTTTATCAGTTTATTCATCCATTTATGAACTTATTCGTTCGTCCATTCAATCATCTCATTTTCATTCTTTGATTAATTTCTTTTTTTCATTTCCTTTATCTGCCAATTGATTGATTGAGACGTACCGCTGGACAGCTAACTGAATCAGACTCTTGCCGCTCGTAACTTGGAACCAGATCTCCATCGGCTGCAATGTATTGAACGAGCTGAAGGAGGGCTGAACACGAGTCGGAGCACGTCCTTACGTGAAGTGTGTTACTTGACATGCGCAGCTCTATCTTTGGGTGTCGCTGCATCAAACAGAGAAAATCATAAATCATAAATCGATGATTGATTGATTGATTGACTGAGTGATTGATTGACTGAACTTTTGATTGATTGATTGATTGGAGTTAATTGTTGATTGACTGACTGACTGACTGACTGACTGACTGACTGACTGATTGATTTATTGATTGGAGTTAATTAATTTTGTTTGTGGACCAATTCTCACCTTTTCATTTCCATCACTTGTAAACAGCGATAGTTCAAACAGTCCTAAATCCATGACACAGACGTAGTCTTGAAGAAAATGAATATTTTTCAGTAACATGAAATTAAAGAAACTTAGAATCTCTGCTTACTATTAAGGTTCGACTGGCCACTGCATTTATTAGATATGTAGAGGGCTGTGTCATCGATGATAAATCTATTAAACAAAACAGCAATGATCGGAAATGATATCAGACACACGAAAACATACATTAGTACAAGGGTGATTTTTTAGGTCATTGTGAGTTGTTGGAAAACTACTAACCTCAGTAATGAAACGGATGATTCAATTGTTAGATTACTTGACACACTGAATGACTCCATGGTAAGTAAGACACGTAATGGTAGATGAATAGGTCTACAACAACAAAAGTTCATCAGTATATAGCTTGCCCCTCCCCCCTCTGCACAAGAGTACATAATTACCTGTAGTCGATTGAGCTTTGCCATATATGGGTATGTAAGACTGTAACTACTGCAGGAGCTACAAACCCCAGAACAGGATCGTCTTGTACATCAATGTAATTAGACATCTGCAAAATTAACGGCGTTAAACAGATTCATAAAGTGCGCATGCTCTGATGTCTTTTCTAATCTAATCCCACATGGCTTATAGTCTGCTTATTCATCAAAGCTTCAAATGACAGTGTAAGAATGTCAATCAWTYGTACCTGCGTTAACCATAGCTGTGAAGAGGGCGTGATTCTATGTCGCATCGTAACATCTCGTATACCCAACGCTAACACTATCTCCTGAAAACAAATATGTAAGAATATATAGCAAATATATCTCAAGTCACAAAGGTGCCTTTACCTTGACATTTTTAACAGGATCTAACAAAAACTTGGCTGCTATGGACAGCATAGGCTCATCAGGATAGTCATTGCCTCGTTTRAGACCCTGTTCTGTACAGTACAAAGTGGACTGTAACTCAGCTCCTGAAAAAGCCGTTTCCATGGTAGCGTGTACGTCACTATTTACTACAGGTGCGTGTTTGAGGCGTAAGGTTTTGGAGTAAAGACTAAGATATGTTAAATCAACCAGGCRTTTATAGCAAGCTGCAATAAAGAAATTCAGGTCTTCAAATTCGCCCATGAGTTGACCAAGGACTTCATGTTGAGAGCTGTTGGCGTCTGGTTGATAGTCSGCYACCTGTGGGGAATATGATATCTACCTCAATAAACTCATGACAAAACTGAATTAAAACGATTGTAATACTATCGCGAAACAGGCTTTTTCATGCTATTTCTTTGCGTCTATTATTATATTTTATCTCATGCAGGCGAAAATATATTAATGTGATTATAAATGTTAGGAATCATATAATTGTCTTAAGCAACTTAGATCACTATTAATGCTAATCACCGTAGCGTCATCATTATCATCATCATCATCATCATCATCATCATCATAATCAGTACAAATGATTATCACGCATTTCTGCCATAATCACAGTTACTACAATACCATACCTCGCTTGCTGGAAACAAAGCCAGTCTCCCTTTGGTTACACTAAGTGTCACGGCTACTAARGTCTGTCCATTGCTATCATTGGTTATACCACGCCGAGTGTTTTTATGRTCAGGTGATGTAAAGTTACTGCTGTCTTCTTCATCTGATGATGAATCTGAAGGGTYYAATCAAACAGCTCAKATATTTGAAGAAAAYATGGTAAAAGCAGTTGGTAAGGTCAATGATTMGGATACTGATGGATTGATTGACTGGTTGATCGAATGATTAAATTGACTGACTGATCATTGATTGTTTGTTTGTACGTTTGACTGACTTATAGTTTCTGACTTACCATCATAGCTGTGTAGTCCTGATCGACACATAACAAATTTATCAGGTCCTTGCAGTAATTGACTGGCTAAATCAAGACCAGCGATGACTGTACCATGAATATCAGACCTGTCTACAGGTGATGGTGCGGTAGGTTCCCATAGCAATAAATCACTAGCAATTCTAAATACGCAACCAATTAGAGATATTAACCATTACCAGAAATAATGATCTCCACAATAACTGCAGCTTCAACAACCAACAGTTTTGCAATCTTACCTGTTATAAATAATTTCAAAAAACTCTTTTTGGTGTAGATTAATGTCAAGACGTGGGAAGCAGCATTCTATGTGAGTATGTGATGAAGTAACAGTGTCTTCCTGGAACTTAGTCATCTCTTCCTGGCTGCCAGGTAGAACCAGCTACAATCAATATAATCAAGATTACAAACTTGCAATAACGTTTATTAGCAGGGTTATTGTTCATACCTCCTCTGCCTCATACATGACAGGTTTAGACGAGAAAGGTGAAGGATCATTCTTTAAGACTGGATATGCTTCAAGAGAGCTTAATGGGGAGTTATTATCAGATTCTTCCAGTATGGACAGAGATGCAGGTGGTTGGATAGTAATTGTGATTCTGTGAAAACATTAAGACAAGTGTTAATAAATATCAGGATAATGATGACTGTATAAACAATGTCTTGTGAGCAGTGCAATTACAATAATAATTACCTTGGCCAATCAAATCCACAGCTGTTCGATTCATTATCGGTCGCCATGGTAGTAGCTTTAATAACTGGGATAGGAGGCTCCTCCTTGCTCTTTTTAAAGAACCCTGAAAGCAAACCCAGTCATTTAATTTCCTGCCTAAGAATTATATATTTTGATACCAATGACCTTTCCAATCAATGCTTACCATCAAGTTCTTGAAAGCGAAGTTCATAGGAGCTGGTGTTATCTTCTGAGCAGACAACAGTGTTYAACTTGACAGAAGAAAACTCAATCAAAAGCATATCATCCCTTAATGCTTGCTTCCACCATGGCCGCCGCTCAACTACTGGTCTAAGGTCAGGAATGGGGAACCTTTGGGAATAGAGTTGGATCAATGTAGTGTATATAAGCACTGTGATAAGCTGTTTGTATGCAATTATTCTAATTATAACCCTAAAAAACCTCCATATAAAAACTCTGAAGAACATGACTTTATCTACTYAGAACAAAGATTGTTAATTATATTTACCTTATCAAGACTGCAAGTACAGGGCAAGTTAAAGTGACATCCATGCGCTGATCAGATGTTGGGCCTTCATCCATGGCCTGAGTAAACACAGCTTGCTGATTCTGTTTCATGGATGATATCAATTCTGAGTAAAAACATGTTCAAATGAAGCACARAGTCCAAACTACTTACAAATGAAGTTGGATTTAAGGACTTAAACATCCTRGAATGTGATGCTGAATTTTGGTTTGAGCAGCGTGGTCTTGAGTCAAAAAGTTCAGCTAATCGATCGATGATAGTGATGTCCAACTCACAGCATAACTTTCCAATTTCAAATGTTAAATCTGTTTTGGGTAAAACTGAATTGCGAGCTTGAATTCCACCCTAGAAAACAACATCAATTCATAAAAATGGAAGCAATAAAGTYCTCATTCAGTGTGTGTGACGTACTGGTGATGTTGTTCTTTGTGTATTTTTGTACTTGGCTCGTAGACATGGCGTAGAATTGGTGGCTGTCATTCCAAAAAAGGCATTTCTGATTTCATCTCTTGGTTCAAAATTTAATATCTGCAAGACAAATACAGCAATGTCATTCATGRATATATGGCCTTCTGGATGGATTCAAGGTTACCTGTATGCTTGAATACAAAGCTGGGGAAGTCAAAGTGTCTGAAGAGAAGCGTTCATACAAATACTCCAAGACTTCCATTCGTCCAATTGAAATGTCACTGGATACYGTTTGATGTGAGTTGCATGTTGTCTTGTCAAAATCAATACTCAGCGGAGTCAACATACATCTAAACCATAAAGTAAAAATGCTATCAAGAGGTGTTACTAATAGAGAACAACGAGAGACAGTGAAGTACCTCAAGTGGTCATTAGAACAGGCTTCTGAAAGCCTCTCTTTCATGTCTTCYAAGTCCTTTCCACCAAAACCATAAGTACCCAGGCTTCCAAAGAAGTTCTCAGCCATTTGTAACAGAGGYTGACTGGACTGACTATTGTCATCACTTTGCTCTGAATCTGATACTGGTGACAGAACTGGATCTACATGAAGGATTGTCATGGCAACACTACTAAACTTTAACTTGAGGTGCATGGTCTCAGGTGAAGGGTCCTCTAATGCTGCAATTCCTGCCAGACCWGGGTTCACYGGTGAAATGGATTTTGGTTTCCCTGGGAAAATTGATTTGAATTGTTTCTAATTAGCTTCCAAATTTGAGGTGTCATACATGTATGTTGATATYAGTCATGTATTTTTAATCTCTTCACATATTATAATATGATATTATATGCTGCTATACCTGTAAAAGTACTGGGCTTGCTTTGACTTTGTTGAGACTGAGCATGTGCAAACACACTACTAGCAGCTTCGGTCAGACTCGAACCTTTACAAAGAAAAAAAACACAGTGATAAAACTAACAGGGAAAAAAATCAATGTTGTACAATGGTATTGCTTGGTTTTTGTGTTATTTCAAGGGCAATGATTGTACTACACCATTGAATGGGATGACTACCTGATGTGTTGAACTTAGGGATGTTACCAAAGCCTTGTGTAAGAAGAGAAGCTTTCTTGATCATGTCAGCAGGTAGTGGTGGTTCCTCTAAAGGAGGAAGAATGTCATGGTTCCATTGGTTGGATGGCATAGAGTAAAACTGRTCATCACTATCTTCTCCAAGAACACTAACACAAACAAAAACAACTTACTGAATGCATGACACTTAAAAAAGGTAGAAAGTGAGTTTAAACGAGAAACAAAGAGGYAATTAGGCAAAAACAAACAACAAGACAATGACAATTTGAGGATTTTTCATACCTATCATATTCTGCACTGGATGAAAAATGGGTTAAATTATCTGTTGTATTTGAAGAATCAAAGTTACAGTTCCACGTCTCTACTTTTTGATGACCTGAATCTAATTTCTGTTGCTTTTTAGCATGGAGTTGGTTTTGTAAATCTTCCTCTATTCTCTTGTAATCATCAGGTTCCATTGGTTTATTGACTGAAATTCCACCTTTTAACCCGCTTGACTGACAGTTGTCACCTAAGCAGATAGAAGTGTTTAAACACTATATTGTAAGTAAACCCTAAAAACAATGAGTGAATCAGCAAATGAATGAACAAATGAATAGATAAAAAAATGGGATAAGATAATCATCAAATAAATCTCTTACCTAATGACAAAGCACTGGCTAACTCTATCAATAGATGGACTTGTCGAGGAGCTAAGAAAACATTCAGTGTTCCAAAAAAGCATTCTATATCGACCTAAAGAAATTAAATATTTCAATAAAAACTTGGCAAATGTGCTTTTTACAAGTGGATAATGTCTTATAATAACTACCTTTGAACCAGTTACTGCATTATTTTGTTTCAGCTTAAGCTTTACTTCCAATCCACCAGCAAAGTTACCAATCTGGATTGATGGTAGCAAGCTACTTTTCTCAGACTTAGCTAGTTGACTAACAACACTTTCAAAGCAAGCACTAGTCATAGARGGTGAACTAACAGTTGGTGAAGGTGGTGGAGATGTAGGAGAGTCTGAATCAAATCCTGGTGGCATTGTCCTTGCTTTCTCTTCGAATTCATCCAGGTAAGCACACACACCAAATATCTTTAAGTTTTTAAAAGCAAATGCAGCAGGTTCATAAACACTTTTAGCTTTGTACTGAGCATCTTTTTCTGATAATTCAGTTGAAAGATCTGAATAATCAACCCTGTAAGACAGAAATATGTCACTATTTAATAAGAATAGTCATCATATCCCTAGAAACTCTAGCAACAACACTAGAATTGTTAAACATGTATTCTCATTAAGAATGAAATGTTTTTTTAATAAATAACATTTTACCGTTTGATATGAATCTCAAGGCCTATGCCTGTCTGGATGTCTTTAGGTAAATGTTCTAGTCTTATCACAATATCTGCAAAGGTTAGCTTCACTCTTGATAGCACTGAAAAATGCAGAAATACATACATTTAGTMTTTGGTATTTTGTGTATTGATCAAGAAGAATACATATAATAATCAAGTAACAATAAAACTCCATCTACAGCAAGATCACACCTGATTCAATGGTTTGTGCAAATGTTTCAAGTCCTTCAAACTGRTGTGTTGCAGCTTCAGCCTGCTCCTCTCCAGGTGATGGACCTTGTTTGAGACATTCTTGTGCCATCTCCATGCTTGTCGTCATGTTGTTAAATATCATGGATTCAGTCAAACCAGATCCCCCTATAAACAACAATCAAACATATTAGCTCATCAAAATCCACTGCAAGTGTCAAGTGAAAACTTGGTGATAACACTGGAAATAGATGCAAAGATATCTAGTCAAAATGCAGGGTAAATCATTTTAATTATTTTAAACCATTAAATGCAGATTTCATAATATCATTAATTTGATTTTCATGCCTTGATTGGTTGCTGGATTCAGTGCATAGCTGTTGCACACTACYCTCTAGAGATTATGCTACCATATTCTATCAGTGACTGTCACATAAAATCTGATCCATGGAATCCTTACTTACCTTGGTCTGATCTTTGTTTCATAGCTATAGTTAGTTCTAGTCCTTGTATATCCATGCAACAGCTATCATTAAGTAATGCTGACCAGGGAACTGATACTGATATCTTATTGATATAACCATCAATCAACTCAAATGGTGCTCCACAGCTATCCAACATCTCATTAACAGACTAGCATCAAACAATAATTACATATAAGACATTGACTTTAATTAAATATATTGATAATAATTGATTGATTGATAATAATAATAAATCTTATTTCTCATAAACCTATCGATAACAATATTGATTGATTGATTGATTGATTGGCAAAATATATGATTGACCATTTTTTACAGATGAGTTGGTTGAATGAAAGCTTGAATAAATGATACACAGTAGATAAACTGATCAATTGTTTGGTTTACTTTCCCTAGAATTGACTAATTGATAAAACTATAATTGCATGCTTGTCTATCAATCAACTAATCATGRTATGCCAATCAGTTGACCAGGCAGACAGTTTTGAACATACTGTRACCATGTTTTGAATGACCAATTAATATTAAGCATTCATTTACATTTGCTGTGAAATTTGAAATATTTGTAAATACTGGRGGACATTTGAATGATAATCAGTAGTGCCAGAAAAACATTTGGATGATAATGAGCAGTGCCAGAAAATGTATGGTATAAGTTACAAAATTAATTATCACATATGAATAATCATTTATAATCCAACAAAATATTTAACATGGAAAGATGCCAATGATTGATAAACCTAGTAAATCTACATTGCAAGTAAAGAAGACTGGAGATTTGTGGTTAACTGGAAAATAAAATATGGCATTGAAATGGAAACTGAAAACAAAGGTTTCCTTGGCACACAGGCATGCATGGCCTGACTGAAATCAAGACAATAAAAATTGTGTGCTTCATGCAAGATTGTATTATAGGAATTATTAAACATTTAAAAATAATCGTGCGATTATATCATATTTCATGCTAAGGAAACACACCATAAAATATTTCTAAGCTCTCAAAATGCACTTGAATGCGAAACTAGTCAGCAAGAAAAATGATCTGACATCTTTTGRCACTATTGTTGGAGTGGAAAAAAGAAATCATGCAAACAGTCGTTTAAAAAATTACAGAAAGTCTCTGAATCCCATCACTACCTACCCATACATCAAGAGGGACATTCTCAACTCGACCCGTTCCATTGTACAAGTCCACAGTCAACTGTTCGAGGGTGAGCTTCTCTTGCAGAAAATGCCCTAAATAGTGCTGTAAAAGATAGCGACAGGCCCGTTTCTTGATAGAATCAGACCAAGGAAAATACCAAGGCATGTTTAGCGTTTGTCTAATGTTCCAGTAATAACATTATCCAAAGTTCTTTGCCGATAAAAASCGTACATTTTGGGAAATACCCTTGTCAGTCGCCATGTTTAGCATGATCGTTGTTTTTGTTTGGGAATGACGTCAGTCTACCGACATGCAATTCGCGATTCAATCTTCAGACAAAATGACACAACAAAAACATGGAGTTTTTCAGTTCGGAGGATTCTGCCTTTTTTAGTGCTYATTATCGGATTTMTGATATTTTCAGTTGCGGATTTGCAGATGACTAGATACCAAAAATATAAGAATTGAGGAATTGGTGGATTTCAACGATTTTTCTTGCTGATTTCGACAGCCCCCTCTATTTAACAATCTCAATATTGGTCTTGCTATGAATGCTGCTGTATGTATATTTAACAAATTGTTTTGATTTGTATGTCCTCTTATTGACACACTCTTGACGTCATAAAATGTTCAAAACTCAAGTGTGCAATTTGTTTTGTTTTTTTATGTCCTCTTATTGACACACTCTTATCAGCCGATCAGTGGACAAGAATTTACACAAGTGTGATAAAAACATCTATTGTACAATTATTGTACGATGAGATATTAATTTTTATTTTTACTAAAAATGAGAGTGCATGTACACTGTTAGTACACTGCTGCAGTTGATGAAGCTAAACCTATTTAATTAAATAATGTAATAGACACTAAAATGATTATTAGAGTCTCTAGAATAACTTATCTATTTAAAAGGTTAAATGATAGAAAGACAAAAAAGATTAAATCTGTTTTACAATGTTCACTTCTAAATAACCAAATAAAAGATGATTCTCTAACTTGTTAACAATCTAAGGTCTTTAATTTCTGATTAATCAAATATTTAATGATACCAGACCACTGTTAAATTAAAAGACACAAAATCTACAAATAAGTTTATAAATCTTCTGGACTTTAAGTCCTAACTAATAAATATCTTGACAGCTAGTGACTGCATTGTGAGTATGCATTACCTGGTAACTTATAGCTCATTATGAATTATTAGTATTATTAGGGATTGATTAGGAGTTATTAGGATTTTCAGGGAACTGCAACTCAAGCAGTATCTGTTGGATCTTCACTTTAGCAGTTGCATTAGTTCGTTTGTCCATTGATCTCAGCTGTGCAGCTATGCTTTGACCAAACAAAGTGTCAGCATCCATTTCACACCTTTCCTCTCTTGACTGTGTACATGGGCAAGGAGTCGCTCCACTTCTTGACAAATATTCCATTATTTTACAGTCAAGTGCACCTTTATCAATTTGTTCATTTGGCGCTGACTGCAGGTAAGGACGCTTAACAGCTCTGTCAGAGCCATTTTCTTCTGCCTCGTGATCTGTATTAGAACTTGTAGGGATRCTTTCTGCCATGGATAAAGGTACATCATGATCATTTGACAGCATGTCAGTGTGATCACTCATTGTTGCATCTTCACCACTCTCTGACTTACATACATCTGGTTTGATGTCAGGGCTATCTTGAAATAGCTTTTTTGTGGTACTTTTTCTGCGGTTGATGTAGATCTTCAAGAAGGACAAGGGCTCAAGGTGTGGATGTTTGGTGATGTCCCCAGAATCATAGATGGAAGACTTGTAGGTACGTCCACTGAGWACKCGTACATATGAATCTCGTAGGTTTTTCCAAATCTTGTCCCTGTAGTCCATTACTGTTGAAGGAAAATATAAGAATGAAAAAAACACTATTTTGCACATGTGGTCTATTTGTTCATAGATCTTCATCTCGTTCTTTGCCTTGCAGCWGCAAAGGTTTCCCCTATTTAGTTMTTACTTCTGTACCTTTTCAAAAATAAATGTAGTGGTATCTTGCTGTTTTTGGTTCATTTGCATACAAGGCTAGATCACAAGTAATTGAGGAATTGTCYGGCCGTAATTTTACAGTAATTTCTACAGTTTCTTTCATTATTCCAAAATTTTCTCTTTTTCARTCTGTCTCAACAATGCAAAGATGTAATCAAATSAAAAAAATATGACTAGCTGCATCAGCGATTCAGGAAACAGTAATGCAAATAATCATAAAGGTAGCGCCTCAAAATACTATTGTTGGCTTAATATCTCTTTACTATTCATGAATTTCAATACGGCTGCATTACCATTTTTCGCAGTATCCATGGAAATGTCATAAAAGGCCGTCCAAAGCTTGGAATTCTCGCTTACAAAATTTCTATTAGTAAAATAATCTTCATTTGGTATTATTTTAATAGATTTAGAAGATAAGTTGAGCATTTTTGTGAAGCCAACAGAATGATAAACTTTACCTGAATACGTGGTGTTCGCTGCGGCATTCACCGTCTCCGTTATAGCTTCCCAAGCACTGTCTTTAGCCGCTCGATTTTTGTACTCCGGGTCCGTTGTCTTCCAGAGACCAGGATACTTTTTCACTTCTTCAATGAGAAGAGATTCAACAGCTGAATATTTTCCCATTTTTTGGCAGCAAAACGTAGCAAACGATATTTTTGAAAAAAAATATGGCTACGTCTTTCACAGTCGCTTCCGAAATACCACGTGACGCGATTCCCGTTTGTGATTGGATGATTAGTACATGCGCAATACGTACGGGATGAATACGTAATTCATGCGTAATATATTGCGTACACCTGGAATATTGCTTTGAGTTGGGCCAAGATAAAACAGTTACATAGGAAATGTTTATACTTCAATATATATGCATAATACTTTTTATAATATTTTGCCAAATCTCTAATATGTTGCTAACTGCACTTGTAGAAAATTTTTATTTCCTTGTCCAAAAAAATGTTGAACAAAAGAACAACTCTGGTTATATATCATGCTTACAATTCTAAATAATATTGTTTTTCCAATACAATTTTCCCCCTTAAAAATATAGTAAATCACTGTTCTTCTTCAAAAATATATCAAATCACACAATTTCCACTCTATATTGTGGTGTTCCTTGTTAGCACACCTAAAAATTCCAATTTATTGTTCCTGTTACTCAATCCCCTGCCAATATCATTTTTAATTTATATACTTGTATTTGATTTAAGTAATGTAAAGAATGAGCCTTTTAAAAAACATTTGAAATCATTCATTGCACTTGTTTTCAACAACACAATAAAAGAGGAAATTATGACTTTTTTATGAACAGAGTGGATGAACTAAATCTATGAAACAAATATTACTAATTACACAATTAAACAATAATTTTTCTTCTCTCAGTATCAACATTACATTAGACATCTAATACACTACCATTTTTTACAAAATATGATCAATTTATTGTTGTCTTCAACCATTGAATATATAAGTCTACCACATTATCACTCTTGGTACTATAGATCTGATTCAAAACTCCCAAAACCCCAACTAGCATCATTCACTTTTATCTCATTATAAAAACACTTTATCTAGAAATTATCAAAGTTATAAATAAATCATGAGTAAAACACAATAGAAATCATGACCTTGAAGCAAGATCACAAACTGAAACAGAATAAACCTGATTTGCATACTGACTTTTGTTACATCTTGTCAGATTCACATTATTATAATATTAAGACAAAAATGCTTGATATATATAGTCATGTATATTGTCAAATCCATATAGGATAAAGTTAATGATTTGTTGCAGCTTTTCATACCCATGTTGCATGCAATATTCCATCACACAGGAAAAATTAATGTGAATTGATTCAATACTTAATAAAAACCAATAAAAGTTTTTTATTTGATTGATATGCTATAGTACAACGTTCTTGACGACTGTCTCAAACACAATACTTCTACATTTAATCCTTTATAAATTCATTGCTTGTACTAATTACAAAATAGATTTCCTCATAGAAAGGGAAAGTGGAATTGCATATTTAATTCTACTTTTTCTTTGATGTTTTTGATTTCATAATATTGTTTCTTTGAAACATCAAAATATTTGGAGTGCGGATAACAATGCTGACAGTTTTCATTATATTACATTAATTGATCTAAAACCTTACAATTCTCTTATCCAACTTCTTACTAAGTGTCTTTTAGATCAGATTGTCCCACATTGTAAAATCTTTGCTAAAGAAAGTTATTTGTAGCTCATTAAAACAAATTATATATTATTTATTATTACCGTGTATAGTAAACTCTGTAATATAATGTCTTTGACCTAAATAATGAATAGGAGTTATCAAATTTTAACAAATACACTCCTTTGCCAGGGTACATATGACTACCAACAATCACTTCCTCATGACAAGGCCTTCTGACAACTGGTAAAATCTCATCCACCCTTGGTCGAGGGGGACTGGAGTTGGAATCATCCTCTGTAGGCTTATCGTCTTCTTCAGCAAATTCATCCTCATCAGATTCATTGACAGCAATTGTAATATTCTGAGATGRACCATTCTGAACAGACCATTCAAAACTAACTCCAAATCCAAGATCATAATCTTCTGTTGCAAACTCCCAAAACAGACAAGTTCCTAACATAGAGAGAAGAGAAATAATGTTTGYATGAACTTGTCTCATGACAGTGGATTAGAAGAACAAGGATGGCTTCTAGAGTTCACACCATACACTGTGAAAGATCTCCTTATTATTTAGCACAAAAGATTAATTTTTTACAACCATGTGGACTGTAACTAGCATATTCTATGACAACAGGCATTCAAAACATTTTGTGCCAGTTCTGCATCCAAAACAAGTATAACCTACCACTGTCATGGGTTGGCACACGGACAGTCATTGTCTCTCCTCTTCCCACTACTAGGACAGAGTTAGGATCTGATTTGACATGTTGTATGAATTCTGTAACTTTAGGTCTTGTCCACAACGATGCAGGAAGGATGCGAGTTGTTTGARTGGCTGGTGACYTGGATTGTTTAGTCTATGTAGAACAAAGAAATATTATATTAGTTTCCCATCGGTTTGTTTGAAGATTTATTCTTCAATAGACCAAGCCACCTTTCTAAAATGGTTATGATGTTTAAGCATTTTTTACTTAAATAGCAATGCACTGACAGTAAGACCAAGTCAACTGAAAATGTTTTGTCAAGATTGTTTATAATTTTGTATGAATAGACATCAAACATTTTGCTTAAGCTAAACGTTGCTTTAACCACGTCCCTGCTTTAACTGACCAAACTGGTCACACTTTGTTAGACGTCACCTGCTATCATTTTTTGCCTTGATGTGATATAAAAATAAAAAAAATAATACTGGCTAAACAAAGACTGCCATACCTCTTCTTTATGCTGTGATGGAGCTGGGTGTTGCAAACCATCTACTTGATTGTGTTGAATCCTTTGTTGCTCTTCTTGTTTCTTTATCAATTCTTGCTGTTTTATCATTTCTTCATTGCGCATTCTTTCTTCTTCCTCTGCTCTTTTTCTTGCTTCTTCCTCTGCTAATCTTTGTCTTTCTCTTTCAGCAGCTTCTTCTGCCATTCTCCTTTGCCTCTCTTCTTCTTCTTTTTTCTTTCTTTTCATTTCTTCCACTTCGCGATGCTGTGCTTCCATCCATGGTTTCAATTCTGGTGAGCATTCCTCAAGAAGAATACAGAAGTTTTCCATGGCTTCTGTTTGACTCATGTTTCCCAATGCCTCCCATGCTTTTCTGTCATCAACAAATAAATATTTATTATTCATTATATCAAATCAAAGTAACATTGCCCATGGTTTGTGCTATGTTCTCACTACAAAATTCCAGGACTTTCAAATACTTTTTAAGCACAAAAGTTCGATTTTCAAGGAGTTTTTGAAGARATTTTTTMATGTTTAAAGTGACYATTTTCAAAAATACCCACATTTCAATCCAAAAGCTAACAAGCAACAATTTTATCAGATTCAAGGAGTTTTCCAGGAATTTCAGCAATTTTTAAGGGCTTCCAAGCACCCTTGAAAACYAGTTTTCAATTTCAGGACTTTTCAAGGACTTTTTTGRTGATAACTTTCTGTTTTTAAACATTACTCTGGTTAACATTTGACATTATTTCTCTATTTTCAATCAATTTAATTTAGCATGAGTAAAATAAACAACAAACCAAATACAAGTAATAGAACAATGAAGAACACTCAAAGAACTACAATAATGATACCTTCTATCGTTACCAATGACATCAAAGTATCCTACATCAGGTAGCTTGTCTGGATCGTAACTCCCACATGTTACTTGTTTCCAAAAAGCTGTTAACTGAAGCTTGTCATCATATGATATTTTGATTATCTTCTTTTCTATAAATACCAATGAGCAGAAGTTAATGAAATAGGAAAAATAAATAAATGAAAAAAAATCTCACTTTATAAAATATAAGCCAACAGACAATACATTAGCAAAATAATATTAGATCTCATCATTTTTTAAATCAAATTGATTGCAATAAATAGCATCTGTGGGTGGTCATGTTATCAGACTTTGTCTCATCTCAAAACCATGTGTGTAAATGCTTTGAATGAATTTAATTGAGTTACTTTGCCACAACTACGTTATTTACATTATATTTTATTACCATGAATTTTATGTATATCAACACGTAATTCAATCTAAAGACTGCTAGGTGTTATTTCTAAACGTTATATCTATCTTAGCTGTCTATCTTATAACTGCCTGCAACTGATCAGATTTCACGACAATGACGACAGCGATATCTAACAACTTAATGATTTTCAAAACAATTACATGCATATAACTTAAATCTAGAAATGCTATATATACTTTTCAAGACACATAAATAGGTAAACTTCGCCAACGAACTCCAAGAAGACAYTAAACGAATTCCATTTTTTCGTGAACTCGAACTAACCTTTGTGATAATATTTGAGACAAAGTTTGTAATATTCTCCTAAGCCAAATCCATTTTTATAAGGCTCTATAACTTCATCCCTCTCTGGGGTATTCAGATTTTCTTTTGTAGGGGAATTTTGGTCTTCTGTGATTGTTAAATTCAGTCGGGGAGGTTCATTCTTRCCTTCTTCATCGGCCGCCATCTTGCCACGTCTAACGACAATCCCAATGCGCAGCCGCAAAGAGAAGCCCGAAATCCAAAGGAAACCCACTCGTCAGGCCGAAATGCGACATTTTTTTGTTTGAAAATGAAATAAGCAACAACTTGTTTCAAAGTTTGAAATCTGGTTTTCACTAACAACACAAGGACTAGCACAGAAGCAAGCTGAATGCAGGCTAGCGTTGTGCTTCGCGCAAGAAAAAAGGAAATTTTTTTGATATCCTGCGCTTGTTTTTATATAACTGCGTTGTTTGTTTGTATAACGGAAAAAGAATGATTTGGTCCACCATCTTTTGGACTTGACAATTCAATCATATACGCCATGATGGCGTGACTGCAGTCCCTGATTCGTGTTTATCACGGCTTGGCAAGATCATAGAATACACCTTATAGACTAGACAAAATGCAAAAGATTGCGTGCAAGTTTGGATAACCATTGAAGGGCTGTCAACCAAGGCAGATTCACGCAGACCACTGATTCACTTACAGAATTCAATCACAAAGGCTGGCCCCATATTTTTGGTGAATGTAGTGGGAAAAAAATCACAGTTTTGCCAATTTCTCGACAAAAAAAAACAAACAAAAAACAAAAACAAACGGGAGATTTATTTTTTTGAGGGTTCATTGTCTCAACGTTTTAATCTGGACTGCGGTGTTCCTCAAGGGTCGTGTCTAGGTCCTCTTCTCTTCATCATTTATGCATCAAAACGATCTTCCTGAAACTCATTGTTATGCAGATGATACTCAGTTGTATCTTGGCTTCAAACCGGATTCCAGTTCCTCGACACAAGATGCTATTAGGACTATGTATTGAGAATATCAGAAGTTGGATGATTTAGTGACAGGCTTAAAATCCATAATGATGACAAAACCAAATTCATAATTATTGGAACGCGTTAACAGTTGATGAAGGTTAATTCCTTAAATTTAACCATCGGCAGTGACTTGATCGAGTCGAGCTCCAGTGTAAAGAATCTTGGCTGGACTCCAACCTGGGTATGTCTAAACACATCACGAACATCTGTAAGTCAGCTTTTATCTATTTGCATAATATTAGACGCATAAAGCAATTCTTGACTAAGGAATGCATAAATATATTACTTATTACTCTGTCTTTGATGCAGATTCTTTGATGGAAATCATTTACATCAAATTTACAGAATTTTGGACACTTGGCAAGGCATATTTACATCAAATTTATTAAAGCGCGCGATTTTTTCCAGTGTGCATTGGCTTCCCGGCATACACTATCGTATTAAAGTACTTCTAATCACAGTCAAGGCTATCCATGGCTTAGCACCATCTTATCTTTGCATTACTCATTCAAGTCAAAGACAAATCGAAATACGGCCTTAGAGCTGGATTACTGCTGAGACAGTTGGCAAAATGGGTAAAACTATGGGCGAATGATCCTTTACAAGCTCTGCCCAAACAGTATGGAACGATTTACCAATGCCAATTAGCGCTATAGCAAATATTAAATTATTATTATTACTCGTGACCAGGCCCTTTGTTTCTCACGAAAGACTATCAGAGTGAACGTTTGAGTCACGTCATGCATTGCCGTGCGGTGTATACCGTGTCTACGCTTTTATATCTAGGAGTTACTTTCACAAATTTTACTCTTGATACATTTGATATCAGTTCCTATAGGTGAACTGCATATGCCTTCAGTAGATTCTTTATATCTAAACCAGACCCGCTTAGAGCGTCAACTCGGGCGAGCCGTTTTGAAAATTGAGAAAGACATGGTTGGTCATATAGGCGAACAAGAGAAAAGTTTTAAATGAGCTGAATAAGCCAGCACTTTTCAACACCTTTAGGTCACGAGCAATGCTGACATGTCGTTACACTTGACAGCTAGTCAGTTTATGAAATCCGTGTCAAATTACACATATTTGATTCGGTAAGCATGGCGAAATTAACTTATTCTTTGATGCCTCTTTTCCTGACAAATCTTGTTGTTTTAGCACAGAGAACTTCTGCAAACAATGAAACATTGTTTCCATGCAATAATGACGTGTTTTGCCGCGGAAACCTTTTACATACTGTGCAAATGGCCAGYCTGTTCAACGATTCCAAGTCTTTTGTTGACATGAGAATGAGCCAAAACCCAGAAGATGTGTTGGCTGGATTTTCACGACTTRCAKAMAACGCCAGCAGAAGTGATCTTGCTGCCTTCCTGAAGGAGAACTTCCTTCCTCCTGGCAAYGATCTTGTGGAATGGAAACCCGACGACTGGACGGAAAAACCTGCATTCCTTGAGAAAGTTGTTGACAAACGGTTGAAGACATTTGGCTACCATTTGAACGACGTCTGGCTGAAACTCGGACGGAAAATAAATCCAGATACAGCGCAAAAGTTCCCTAATCGATCATCCCTCATTCTGGTTGACGAGCCCTTCGTCGTTCCTGGAGGAAGATTTCGCGAATACTATTATTGGGATACGTATTGGACGGTGGAGGGTCTTCTAGCTTGTGCAATGAATAACACTGTCAAACAYATGATAAGTAACTTTGTGCAACTTGTGAAAAAATATGGGTTTGTGCCAAACGGAGGYAGAATTTACTATCTTAACCGCAGTCAACCACCATTTCTTATTCCCATTGTTGATCTATATTTGGAAGCAACCAAGGATTTCGACTARGTGAAGYCAATWCTCCCTTACTTGGAAACCGAGTATGAATTCTGGAATGCCAACCGCAGCGTACAGGTCAASAAATCAGGGATCACTCATAAGCTTAACTATTACTCTGCAAATATGAATACACCTKGACCAGAGTCCTACTACGAGGATGTCCATACTGCAAGTGGATTAAAGGACAAAGGCCGAGTCTACCGCGATATTGCGTCTGCAGCGGAAAGCGGATGGGATTTCTCAACACGTTGGTTCAGTAAAAAT